ATGATTAGAATGGTGTCCACAACTATTTTGCAGAGTCTATAAAGGGCATAAGAGGAAAGTTGGACCAATGACTGTGGTGTATTTCAGTTTTGAAGTGGAGTGGGGTGTGTGTGTGTGTGTGTGTGTGTGTGTGTGTGTGTGTGTGCACATGCATGTACACCTAGGAGGAAGAGAGGTGCCTCAGTAAGGAGGTTGCACTGAGAAAGAAAATCATAAACTAGCCACTGACAGTCAAGGAGATGACTTGACCACAATAGCTTGCAAGAATGGAGAAGGAGGGAACAGATGAATCAGGTGAACTGGGCTGTAATTAGTCTCCACAGAGTCTGGTAATCAAACAGGCATTTACATATTAAGAGCAATGACACACATAATCCCTCACATGATGACCTGTATCAACCAGGAAGCCTTATTCTTTCAGGCTTTTGACTCACTTTGGAAATCCTCCCTTTTCTGTTGTCCAGGCCTCCTTTCCAATTCTCTTGAAATGTTAGAGACTTGGTACATTTCTAAGCAAAAATAAAACAAAGCAAAAACAATAAAACAATATGAATTCCAGGGAAACCATTTAAGTACGTGGAGAAGGGGAAATACAAAATTTGATTTATTTCAGCTACAGCATATGTGTGTTTGCAGGGAAGGGAGGCTCAAGGCTTGTAAGTAACTTCAACTGTGATGTTTATGCTTTATTTCCTGAACCAGGTATTAGGTATGGCTGTGTTTGTTATGTCAGGGTATCTGAAATATTTCATAATTTACAAAAAGAAAACATTTCTGAGAAGAAAGGGAGGAAAAGAAAAATGATTTTGTCTATGTCCCTGCTGCTACCTGGTAAAAGATGGGGGTTCCTCCTAGTTATCGTAATTTTATTATAACTGAAAACTGTGTCTGTTCACAAATAAGACTGTGTCTACTATCCTCTTGGAGGTTAATTCTCTTAAGTCAATTTATTTTTTTAGCAAATGTTCAAATCACACACCTATGAAGCTGGATCAACTTCAGTGACTTCATCCATGGGTGTGACTTTGGTTGCACCGAACTGCTGATTTGGAGATGCCCTTCCTGTTTTGTTAGTATTATGACATCACACATGTTTGAATGACACACCAGGGAGAGAGGTTATAGCCCGAAGTGCTCATTCAGCTGTGATATCCATAGGCTGCTGACAGGGCACTGGGTTATCCCAGGCTTCCTCCAAGCCCCTTACTACCTGGTAGTCCTGTACCACTTCATCTTTACCTCGGCCTCAGGATCACCATGCTTTTTATTTCCTATCCAACCATGATCATAGAAACAGAAAAGAGAAAAGCCATGTGTCATCTTGTTATAAAACATATTAATAGCTTCAAGTAGGAAATGAAATGGAAAAGGGCGAATCTAATTGCTAGAGTTACACCTGCAAATTATCTGTGTATTTCATGATTCCCACTTGAGATTCTATCCAAAATAGAGGAGGATTGGCATTATGCTGATTCATGACAACCTTGATGTTTTACTGCCTGAATTAAAACCCCTGCCCTGCCTCTTCCTAGCTACATAGTCTTGAAAATGCTTTTTCTCCTGCCTCAGTCTCCTGAGTAGCTGAGACTACAGGCTTGTGTCAGCACCATGCTTGGCTGATTTTTTAATATATTTTTAGTATAGACAAGGTTTTACCA